GAACATATCCTACGACTTAAAAATCTTGAGATTGTTAAGCTTCTACAATGTTTGCAATGGATTTTGGCCATTACTTGGTAGTATAAATAAAGAAGCTAAGGTCATGGACAAATTCTAGCAAAAATTAGGTAACCATTAAATCAACCCAGTAATTTTACTATATTCCCTCTCCAGACAGTTCACAAAACTGTGAACACATTAGTCTGTCACCAGCACAGTGCTGTTGACTAATCTGTATGAACAGCTGTTATAACATGCATTACCACAATGGGATTTCATTCAAATTTGGGCTTTTAGAAATACTTATAAACTTTAAATTGAACCTTTAGCATTTTTAATGCTTTAGGTAACATTACTTTCTAAGAGAGTTCTAAAGTTTAAATTTCATATTGTTTTTGTGTGGAAATGCTAGTTATATAGAAAATTTGATGATCAGATTTTAGATTGTATATTTTCATTATTAACAGACTTTTTTGAGAGTAGTTTTTTTTAGTAGGAATTCCTTTTTTAAAAAAATCAGTTGTGAGTAGTAATACATGTCTTGTTCTGTATTCTTTTTTTTTTTTTTTTTTTTAGGTAAACTGAAAAGTTATGTTCCTTTTAATGGAACGTTATGAAGTAATGAATGATTATAAAATACATATTTTTGGTATGAAAGAAATTTTAATCTTTTAAATTTAGTTTACCATCACTCTTTTTGATCACACAGGAGAGAAAGGGCAGTAGAACACAAATACTGTTAAAATTGACCTAATTTTAATCTGTTGGTTTCATGTCATTATTTGAAAATAAATAATTCAGAAAATACTATTACATATTTTTATTCATACATCCATGTTTATTTTTTTTTCGTGGCTGTTATGACATGTTAGAATAAAATGGTCTTAATTAGGATGATAACTGTTGATCAGAGTTTATATTGTGATATTTTATAAACTTGTTTTTGTAATAATGTTTTACATCATAGACTAATAGTTGATTCCAGTATCTAAGAAAATCTTAAACTTCATGATTTTGACATAGTTTTTGTCATAACTTGAAGTGAATTTGAAGAATTTGTGTTTTATTTTGTAATCCTAACGTGATCTTTTCCTTACTTCTTCAGATTGTTACTTCAAACTGTTTATTCATTCATTTCACTATAGCTTTACTATCCTTTTTCTTCATCACTTTAACATACACATGGAGTGTTCTTATTGTCTTAATATTTTACTGATCTTTGTAAAAAATGTCACATTGTTTTCATAGCATAATGTTTGCTTGGAGTTGTTTCTCCATAGCATGTCTAAAATCTGTAAAAACTCTTAATGAATTGAAAAGTTCTGAGCCTCTTTTTAATCCATTTTGACTCTCGCAAAAAGAATTATAGCTGCTTTGGTTTTGCCTTTTACTTAACATATGACTGTGCAAATTAACACTGTACTAATAAGATTGGATTATATTTATCATTGAGTTTGAATTTGCCTCTCCCCTTTATAATTATTAAAATATAATGACATGGTTTTGATTAAGGTAGTGATAGGTCATTTCAGTCTTTGGAATATGAAGGGGTTTTTCTGTTTTAAAAAAGCATCATCAAGTGCTATATTTATGTTACATGTTTTTGATTTCTTGCATTATTACTGTTTATGAGTACTGTATACATTCTCATTGCACTCCATTTTTTTTATAGTTTGGTAACTACTTTGTGTACTTCATGATGAATTAGAAATTACTAGAGGGCAGTAAAGGTATTTTTTTTAATTTAGTAGTTATGTTTGGAAGGTACCACTTGCCTTTTGGTAGGCGTACAGAAAATAAGCACATTTTGATGAATGTCTACATTATGGTATGCAGTTGCTTAGTATATGACATGTCATATCATTTTTTTTCTTTGAGCATTGGATTGGCTGATAAATATGGTGGCACAAAAACTACCCTAGCTTTAAAAGGAAGAAACCAAGAAATTATACTTTCCCATAGCTGTAGCGAGTAGAATGTAGATAATGTAGACATCAAAATTTAGCCTTGTATTTTCGTTTGTTATACTATTTATATAATGTACTATATTGCCCTTTAAGAAATTTTGTTAAATATTTTATACAATAGAGTATCTACCTTTTTTTAGTCTTTAATATCAATTATGTATATTACTATCACCTCCATTTAATTTTTCTTTCTTACACTGGATGATGACCTTACTGGTTTTGTTTACTTGTTTCTGAAACTTTGGTTTTAAAATACTATTAGTGTATACATTATTGTTATTGATACTGTTTGGGTATTGAATCAAGCTATTGTGTGCCTTTATACAGTCTTAACTATCTCATTATTTCAGATTGTGGTTAGGCAGTTTGAAACTTTTTTTTTTTTTAAATTTTTGTTTTACATAAGAAAATGTAAGTCCCTATATTAAACTACCCTAAATCCAAGCTCTGATGTTTTAAAGTTTTCTCTCTTAAATTCTGCTTGGCCATTTGCTTCAAATGAAAATTAGAAATACTTTGGCTTCCCTGGAGCATTTTTTTGTATACTACTACGTGTTTAATAGAATTCCATTCTCATTAATGAAATCTGACTCTTTTAATTATACAGTGAAAAATTCTTGTCATATAAGCAAATGAATTTATTAAAGTTCTTTAAAAACATTAGGTAGCAAACTATATGAAAGAGTTGTAGTGCTTTTCTTAATATGAGACATAACAGGATTTCAATTAAAATTGTCAGAAATCACTGTATAAATATAAAGTTGCTCGTTGTGACATTTGTTCATACATTTTGCCCTCTCTTGTGGAGGACTTGGGTAATGAAGTGTAGATGTGACTGTTGCTTGCCAGTTGGAAGGGCTCCAAAAACAAGGAGGCATTTGTACATGTGCAGATGTTGGCAGAGTTCCCTTTTCTCCTGTTGTCAAAGACCATTTTATTTCAGAAAGCTATGTGTGTATCAGTTCTACAAGATAGCATGTGAAAATACACCGATAGTATATGGAGGAGTGTTTTATTTTACTTTTTCATGGCAAAATTATATTACTTCCCATATTTACTTATTCTTAGTGTTTGCACTTTTTAATATCAGGGACTTCTACATGAACACTTCTGAAAAATAGTTAAACCTTTTGTAATCATTTGTGCAACTAAATTGTCAGGGTCATAGGTATTTTAAATTGGCAGGCAAAGTTAAAAATAGTGAATAGTTAGAAATCAGTTTTTGTGCTACACATTGAACATGAGCACTTTTTCCTAATCCCTAGAAGAAATCCTCAGCATAAGATTAAAAATGTACTTAACTCTAGTTTTTAATTAATACAGTGTCTGTACCAAAATTGTATCAATTTACTGTATTTAAAGATTCATAGTATCTCAGTTTTTTTATAGAATTACAGTTTTATCACAAAAATGAAAATTGTGAATATATGAAAAGATTGTTATGCATTAATAGTCTTAAATTGAAGCACAAATGAAAATCGAGAATTAGGGATGAAGTTTTAAAAGCCCCTTTTGTTTCAAGGTAAAGTTAATGTTGCCTACTTTATTAAGATTTAAAGAGCCTCACTGCTGGCACTTTAAATGTATGCAAAAAATTGCTTAGCTTTTTTTTTTTAAATCAAAACAGAAAAAAGGATAGAAATAATACAGAATTTCAAAAAACAGTAAGAAGTCAACACTAGTTAATATATTGCATATTGTGATCTTAGAAGTAGTTCAGATTATAATATCTAAGCATAAAAAGTGATCAAGCAATCAAACAGTGACAGCACAAATGGTTCTTTTATGATGAACTAACAGACTAGTTCTATTGCTACTAGTTGCTATTTTATCTTGCATACGTATACATACATAGTTATATGTTTATACCTACATACATACATTCTTTTCTTTCTTTTCTTGTTCTTTCCTTTAGAGTACTTAATAGTGAAAGTAGGCTACTTTTATACTCAGTGATTTATTGTGAGATTATACTTAATACTACCTTCTCAGTCCTCCTTAATGGTTGTGTAAACATCTTGCAGGTTTTTTTTTTTTTTTTTCCAATATAAGGCAAGATTCCTAGACTGAAGAATGGCTCTCAAAACTTACCTGTGGTCTTATATAGGAAGTTTAGAATATGACTTCCTATCCTTTTTCTCCAGTGCTCATTTGTAGTTTAGTTATAAAACTCATTAAATAAATAATTTTAAGCTGGGCCATAGTGAACAGAAAATGTTGTGGTCAGAGAAAGGAAAATAAGACTAACCTGAGGCTTAGAGTAAGGGTTGCACTGATGAATTGGTTTGTTGTTGCCTTGCTTTAGGCTCTGACCACTTCTGGAATAGCTCAGGTACCTATTAAATGCTGTCATGGGCCTCTGTCACATTTTAGCAATGACATCCTACTCATAATAATTTGTTTGGTGTTTGGTCTCCTAAAATAAAAATCTATGGCTACAGAGGGGCTGGAGGTTTAGCTCAGCGGCATAAGTGCCTGCCTTACAAGCAGGCAGTCGTGAGTTCGATCCCTGGTACCGATAAAAAGGAAAAAGACAAAAAAAAAAAAAAAAAAAAAAAAAAATCTATGGCTACAGAGACTGTAACTTTAAAAATGTGAAGTTACAATTATACTTTGGAGTTCCAGTGCTCTGAAACTCCTTGTGTGAATGTGTGAATTTGGTACTTGATACATTTGGACATTAAAAATTTTGTTCCAGTGCTTGTTTTACACTGAACTTGTCAGTGTTGATTGCCTTCCATGTCGCTACCTTTTCAGCCACCCCCACCCAAAATAGTTTGATCCTCATTGCTTTTATTATCTTTATGACTCTTAGAATCAGTTAACAATAAATATCAGGGTATCACTGTGTTTATTTAGAGGAGTGTAAAGGTAAGAGTTACAGAAGAAATGAGATTTATCTCTAATGAACTGTTAGCTGTAATAAGGAAATTGAAACTTATTCAGGTAGCAGTCTCTGCTGAGAGGGTCTTGAGAGAAACCTGTAACTCCTTCATCACAGTCTCTTATAATATTAAGGTCATTCTTTTGTAGAGTTTTCCTTCGGATGAGGGTTGGCCATTTGCAAAATATCTTGGAGCATGTGGAAGAATGGTGGCTGTAAATTACATTGGAGAAGAACTGTGGAGTTACTTCAATGCACCATGGGAGAAAAGAGTTGACCTTGCTTGGCAATTAATGGAAATAGCAGAGCAACTTACAAACAATGACTTTGAATTTGCACTCTACCTCCTGGACGTCAGCTTTGACAATTTTGCAGTTGGTCCTCGAGATGGGAAGGTAATCATTGTGGATGCTGAAAATGTTTTGGTTGCTGACAAAAGATTAATTAGACAAAGTAAGTATATTACTTTTTTTTTTTTTTTTTTTTTTTTTTTTTTGGTACAGGGAATCAAATTTAGAACCTTGTACTTGGCAGGCAGGCTGTGTGCTGCTGATCTATATCCCTGACCCTAGTATATAAATTTGAGATTTATATTATAATGCACATTTTTTGTGTCAAAGTGATGTTTATATGAAGTGAGCCGTGAATTGTCTCCTTAGATGACAACCTTGTATCTTTCTTTACTTTATATAATTCGTATCAGCAAATAAATATTTATTAAACTTGTCACTCTTAGTCATTTTCTTCATATATTGTAAAATATATCTTGGGTTCAAGTATACACAAATATATTGTGCGTTTCTGCACACATACATGTGTTTGTATGTACATGTCTTTCACATACTGTGTGCTACATTCTATGTGTTAGGAGTCTATAAAGTTTATAGTGTTACAGGTTTCCAGAGACACTTCACATTTCGTCTCTTATAGTGATGTTTTGTGTTTTATTCTCTTGGATTCTTAACAGGTATTGTTAACTATTTGGATGAGTCTTACACCAAAGATTGGATTTTAGTTTGATATTTTGATTATTGCATTTTACCCAAAACGTTCTCCATCTCTTTCCGAGTTCTCTGCAGGATAAAAAGGAAGAATATATGAAGTGTTCTGAAAATCCAATACCATAGAAAATTTAATGTGTCAAGGATAAAACCTGTAGTTTAGAACCAGTTCATTTAGAAAAATAAATTGAAGGGTGTTGTTCTGTTTTATATTTTGAATCCCATCCCATTTTCTCCTGTGGTAGAAGGGAAGTAAGTATTGCTGAATTAGCAGAAACTGCACATTTGTGGCACCTGAGGAATACAGCTTTTGGCAGTAGTATATTGACAGTGTCATATGATCTTAGCATTACCCTGTTAAGTGTTTGGTTTTACTCACTGCACATTTTGATTCTTTGCTTACCCTTGAAAAGTGCTATTTCTTGCTACAGAAGTCTTCACATAAAAAATGAATGCCCTACTGGCATATTCCACTTTCCACTTACCTCTTCATACTTCTGTGAATGTTTTAGTAACTTACACAATGGTTTTCTTTTTTAAAAGTGTACAGGTCAGTCATTTTTAGTGTATTCATAGATTTTGCCATTTGCCTAAACTTTTCACATTTTCATTCCAGTATTTATAATTCTTTTGTTTTCATTTTACATAGATACTCTTAGAAAAAAAATGTTAGTTTTATATTGTTTCTTGACTTTATTTAATCTAACTATATAGCTTCTATATGTTTGCATTTCATACAGGAGCATTGTTTTAGTGCTACTTCAATTCTGGCCAGCTCTTCTCAAATATCTTCCAGTAGGATCTGGAAATAGCCTTTTTGCAAAAGACCTTCATTCATTCTTTTTTTTTTCTTTTCATTTTCTAGTAAGTGACATTTCTTTTTTCTTTATAGAGAAATTGAGATTTTGCTGTGGCAACTCCCTCAGCCCTTCCCCTTATTATTTTCTGTTTTTAGACAGCAGATCTTTCTTTGAGAACTTGTATCAATTATTTTCATCTTTTTCACTCATTAGTCTCTAGGTTTTTTTTTAACTTCCCTATAAACAAGTGCATACAAGAACTCTTTCTGTTTTTCTTTGATTTCAACTATTCCTAAAAGTGTTACTGATTTATCTATGTCTCTGTCTCTTCATTTTTTTGGTAGCTTCTTTTTTAATGCAATTTTTTGTTTTACTGGTATGTTTGTAATTTATATTTACAGTTGTCTTGGGGGATGGTTAACATGTGCTTATTACACCTTGTTTGTTTGTTTGTTTGTTTGTTTGTTTTTTTAACCCTCTTCCCTTCTCTCCCTCCCTTTTCTCCTCCTCTAGTTCCCCATCCCCTTTTTCATACTTGTTATTTGTCGTAGCCCATATTATGGCATACAGTGTTTAGATTGACTGTGGGCTTATTAAGTTCCTGTACATGGCATATCTTTATTCTTGTTTTCCCTTCACCAAAGCCTTTTCACCCTTTGCCCCTGTTCTCTCACTTACCTATTATCACATGAGATCTGTAGGATTTGTGCAAGTGCTATACCACTAAGGTACTGTCTAGCTCTTTTAATTTTTAAGACAGGATCTCAAAAATGCTCAGATTGGCCTTAAACTTGAGACTCTTGACACTTCAGCCTCCCACTTAGGAATTCCAAGTGTGTGCCTGCTTGCCTAGTTTAGAAAATAACTCTTGATTAATAACAATTTGAAATTCTATCCCTCTTTATCTTCCTTCTGTTAGAATACTCACGTTTTAGAAACAAATCAGTTCTCACTTGCTTATATGATTTTAATGACTTCTCATTGTTCTTAAGTAAAATCCAAATTCCTCATGGGGGACAATTTGTGTGACCTGGCTTCATACTGCTTGATTTAGTTTACCCTCTGTCTCTTCTCCTTGGACTTCAGGAGTAATGGCTTTTTGTCTCTTGAGTGAATCTTTCTACTGCTGGGCTTTTCCCATTGCAGTTTGCTCTACCTAAAATGACTCATTTTCTTTCCACATATTATATAGCTAGCTACTAGTCTTTTGAGCCTTGGCTTGGTCAAGCACATACATGGTATTGTTTTCTAATATGGTGTTATTCTTCGAACCATAGAATTGTAAGTTTCAGATCCAGTTTGACTTACATGTGTGACATACTCACTTAAATACATATCTTATAGCTATTTTATGTTATAAAAATTAATACATATATGCTATTATTACCTATCTTGTCCTCTAGAACCTTTACCTATATCCGTACTTTTTATCTGTTGACATTTGTCTCAAGTGTTTCTCCAGTCGGTTTTTATATTTCTATGGCTTGTTGTTTCTCTTGTCATCTTTGTCCCTCAGGTGTTTAACCCAGTTATCTTTCTAGAAAAAAATCATGATCATAAATCTGCTAATTATAGCTTAGCTCTCTATCACTTCTCTGTAACTAATCTCCCAGTCTAGCCACACTGAAGTTCTAATTGTTTCCCCAACCACTGGACCAATCTTTTAAGTGCATGGCAGGATCTAGCATACTGTTTTCCTTCATTGCTTTTCTGACTTGTTTTATTTTAAGACCTAAAATCAGCTGTACTTTTTTATGCAGCTTTCTGTAGCTCCAGTCAAAAGTAGATCTTCTCTAGCCTTTTAGTGTTATATCATACTGTATGATTCTGTGTGTGATGATATATCAGTAGATTGAAGCTGTAAGTGGTAACGATCTTGTGTGATTCTTTCTTCAACACTGATAATTCCCACTAGTTATGTGAATTAATATATTTAAATGTTTACATCTATACTAAATTTTTATGCATAGTACTATAAACAAATGTTAATTACTAAAATGTTCTATTTTTGAAAGTAATGAGAACTTTTAAAATGTATTTCTCTTTCTGTTTTTCCCTGTTTTACAGATAAACCTGAAAATTGGGATGTATGGTATGAAAGCAAATTTGATGATTGTGATAAAGAGGCATGCTTGTCATTCTCAAAAGAAATTCTTTGTGCTCGTGTCACTGTGGACCACAATTATTATGCTGTTTGTCAGAACCTGTTATCCAGACATGCCACTTGGCGTGGTACCTCTGGAGGACTTCTTCATGATCCACCAACTGAAATTGCCAAAGATGGCCGACTCGAGGCCTTACTGGATGAATGTGCCAACCCAAAGAAGCGCTATGGCAGATTCCAGGCAGCAAAGGAACTGAGGGAATATCTGGCACAATTAAGTAATAATGTCAGGTAGTCTAAGGTGAACTTTACATTTTTCTTTCCTCCATTTAAATAGCACTGGCAAAGCTAAACCATCAGAAATTATCTGGAGAAATGGAATTTGGAAGTGGTATATTCAGAGGATGCTAAATGAGCACTGATATATCTTACATTAACATCCATCAAAATAAGACATTACTATAAAATTCATGTGATGCTTCTGCAAATAAGTACTTTGGAGACTTGAGCTATCAATGACTGCTTTGCCCCTCCCCTATGCCTGAGTGGATTAATGAATATTGTTAAGCTATTGGAACTGAGTCTGATAGTTACATTGGCTTGTGTATCAAAGGGTACTTGGTAACTTAGTTTGCATTACTATCATGATTTTGTGAATCTCTTGCATTTACTTTGAATGTCAACTTAGATTGGCCTGTTTTATAGGCCACTTATTCCTTCTAATGTATAGGTGTTTTATTTTCCATTTTTATGATTTTTTAATTATTACACATTCAGGTTACTGTAGGGTTTCATTTAAATTTTAGCTTAGTTTTCATTCAGTGCTATGCGGTACATATTTACTATTAGGGCAGGAGTCCCTAGTTTGCTGTGTTTTTTTCTGAAAGCTGAATATTTTATTATGTACATACTTTTCTCTGCCTTCTGTGGTTTTACCATTGCATGACATCATTTCAGGTTTAAAGATTTACATCCTTCTGTGCCAGTAATTATAAATGTACATTGAACACAAAGTTCAGCATATGTTACAAAATGTCATTTCATCTTTTACTAAAGGCTTTAAAAAGAGTACACTAGTAATCTACACCTTGATAATTTTGGTTCAGAAAAAATATAACCTAATATTTTTAAAATGCTAACTAGTCCAAGGTAGTAATGCATATGCCAAAGAAATACTAAACCTAGTCCTATGTTTAGAATTTAAAATAGAATTGGTCACCTGATTCTTATTACACTATTTCCAATATTTTAGGTCTGTCATTATTCAGATCTTCTTGGTTATTCTTTAAGACAGGCTACTGTTTTTGAGAATATGTGACTTAAAGATATTTTAGACTTCTAGCAACTGATAGTTTTGCAAAATTAAAATAGTAGTCATTGAATTTGACCAGGCAGCAGAACCTTTTTATTTATTGGTGGCTAATAATTTTTACTATATAGCAGATTGTTAGCCAGTCTGCCCAGTGGGGTCTTTACCCAATTGCTAAACATCAAAATATTAAATAACCATGTGGATCAAAATCAGTAAATTGTGATATTTGTAGGCTATTTAAAAAGTTATTCTGATTATAACTAATGTATGTAATATTTTTTCTGTTTGAAGTTATTATGTTTACAGCAAAGTTTGGTGTAGCGTGCAGTAGTTAATTCTAGACTGACTTTACAGAAGTCAGAAAATAATTAAAATATCTACAACCAAAGCCAAGTTTTGTTTTTCATTCATTCAGTAACTATTTATTGAGCATTGGTTTTGTGCTAGGCACAGCAGTAGCTGCTATACACTGAACATGTCATATAGTTAAATAACTTTATCAAATACTTTAATGTAGCTATGTCTTAAGTTGAAATTATATTATTACAATGATGTGTTCACATTATTTGACTTTTTAAAATTAGTTTTAAACCATCTAAAATTAGTTTGCTGCAAAAAAAGAGAAACATGAAATTAATAAAGGTATTTCCAGTTTTAAAACTGGCAAAGAATAAGAAATTCCCATTATAAAGTAGATTGCATTATATTAATTTTTATGTATCAGTTCATTGCATAGCTCTCAATGAAACATTTAAGTGCTAAAGAATTTTACTAAGATGACTTTTTACAACTTTGAAAAGATTTTGAAGGGAGTAGAAAAAATCACTTGTCCAACATTTCCTTCTTGACTCAAAACTAAAAATATATAATTTCAAAAGGGGACATCTTTTATATTTCATAAGTATTCATTACAATGAATACTTACAATGACTTAGCTTACATTTATCTTACCTTTGGGATGAGTGATTGTAATTGTGATTTCAGAATAGGAAAACACTGCCAGCAGTGATTGCTACTATTTGAGGTAGGTTTTTATAACTACCATCCCCCCCCCATGAGATTATGTGGAATTTCTTTAACTTTAGAAAAGATTGAGAAGAGAGTAGAAGAATTAGAAATTTAAAATTACAGGGAAAAATATGTATGTGAAAAGCAATAAATATTTTGTTCACTTTGCTATCAATATATTCACTATTAGATATTTATTATACAGCAGCAATTTATATTTTTAATCATTGCCCATTAATAGATGCAGTAAAATATTTTTGAATCAGACATTTGGGGTTTGTATGTGCATTAAAATTGTCTTTTGTACTGTAAGTTACTGTTTAATTTGAATATTTTATCAAAACTGTCTCCCTGTGCCTTTATAATAGAAAGTTGTTTCTACAACTTTTAATGATCTTAATAAAGAATACTTTAAGAATCATCCTTTTCAGGCTGTTTCTTGACTTGAATTATTTACATTTTTCTTGAGTGAAAAATGAGATTTTCCTTTCACATGTGTTTTTGTCACAATTTTTGAAAACTATTTGGTTTAATATAACGTGTGTTTTATTTTTCTTTAGGAGTATCTTAAGTCTTACTATAAAAATGAAATTTATAAAAATAGTTTCATTATGGGAATTTCTAATGTATCCAAGAGAATAAATACAATGAATAGTAGTACAACTGTCAGTACACTAACTCCAAATGGTAGCAAAATGAAACCAAACTTAATTCATCTTACTTTCCCTAGTTTATTTTCAAGCAGATGTGAACTGTATGATTTTGGGGGTGGAGAGGGGAAACTGTGAGACAGTGTGTTGCTTTATAGATCAAGCCGGCCCTTAATTTACTGTGTAGCCCAGGATGGCCTTGAGCTCAGAGCATTCCTGCCTTAGCCTGCCAGTTACAGGAATGGAATGGTAGGGCTTGGCCAGCTGAGTTATATAATTTGATTCATATGTACATGGTAAGTATTTTTTCCTCCAACAAAATGACAGTACCATTTCAAACCAGAAAATTTTATTTTCAAAAATTGATTTTCTGGTTGGCTTCAACATTTTTCTGGTTTACTATTATCTGTAACTTTAAGGATAAAAAAATACAACTGAAGACAAGATCATATATTTGTATAAGACATATCTTACCCATTTCTTTAATTATAAATGAATGGAATGGAAGATTTGCGAGGACAAGGAGCACTGAAGGTGTCCCAATAAACAAGGTTAAAAAAAAAAAAAAAAAAGGAGAAATGAGAGTTGAAAACAAAGACAATAAATTGCAAAAGAAAGGGTAAAACTTCATTGCCTTTCACCTTACAGTTTGAAAGTTCCCGTATCTACATAGATGACTTAGGTTACTCTTGGGGATCTGCCTTAGACTTTTTTTTTCTTTCAACTTTACAAATTCTCTTGAAACTATTAAGGCATTCTTTTTGTACCCTAAGATCTAAGAGACTTGTAAGAAATTCTCACTTAAAAGTGGGGGACATATTAAAAGTAATGTTAAATTGTTATTCAGAAAGGCTTAGAATTGTATTAATTTTAGGATTCCTTTTCTATATATATTCTCAGGTGATAGATAACTTTAAGTTTTAAAAGAAGTGACCCCTAGACTATCAGATAAAAACAGGACCAGCAAACTCAGTATTTAAATCCTGTAACGAAATCAGTGACACTGCAATATTGTTAAAAGATCTCACCAATTTTGTACTTTGTATTCAGACATTGATTATTGATTTTAGTTTTTTCATAGCTTCTTTTTTTTTTTTTTTTTTTTTTGTCTTTTTGCTTTTTATTGGTACCAGGGATCGAACTCACGACTGCCTGCTTGCAAGGCAGGCACTTATGCCACTGAGCTAAATCCCCAGCCCCCATAGCTTCATATTTTTAACTACCTCAAGTAATAAGGCCTTTTGTAGGTTGTCTCCATTTTTAGAGAGAAGGATATAGTAATACTTGGATGTACAGAAAGGGAATGGGGGGAAAAGCACCCACTCTCAATTGTTGCCATAAAATGTGTTTTTAGTCATAAATAATCCTAAAAGACAAAACAGGTTTAAACAATGTTCATATGTTTATAATACAGCAGATTAAACTTTTTTTTTTGCAGTCTTACCAGGATACTGTATTTTTTATGTTCTCAAACATCACTTTCAAATATTTTGAGAAATAGAATAACTTAAGAATTAGAAGTTACAGGCAGATTTTGGCCTTTTGAAACTAAACATATCGGTATTAGTGATATGTAATGAAATTTTGAGGATAGTTTTTTTCTTTCTCTAGCACTGTTTTGCATCTAAAAAGTTGTTAAAACTAAAAATCTCATTTGATAACTACTTTTTCCCCAAGGGAAAGATAGGTTCTCTGATGCTATTTAAGACAAAAGGCAATTTAGAAAAAAGTTGAGCCATTGAAAATGATTTTTTTTTTTTTTTTTTATAAATTAAACTCATGAACTCATGCTTGCCAGACAGGCACTGTGCTGCTGAGCTATATCAAAATGTATGTTTTTGAGAGGGAGAATATGCATCTTTGATCCTTGTTGTAGCTTTAAACAACTTAATATCTATGAGATAGTGTCCATAGTTTAAAAAGAAAATACTTTGTTTGACTGTTATAAGATCACGAAACTGATGGGGTAATGTATGGAGGTTACTTTGAAAGCCATGAAATGCCACGCAAGAATATAACAATAACAAACATTTGATTTTCTTTTTACCCAGAGAGAAAGAAGGACCTTTATTCAGAATTAAATAATTGGTTTCTTGCTAGCTGTCAGGACCCAGCCTCTAATGGTATTTCCTCTTTATAACTCGAGACTGTATATACTGGTTTTAGCTGAGGGAGAAACATTTAGTAGTTATTTTTAGAAAACCTCCTGTGGTTTAAATGAAATTGTTAAAGATATGATTCAGCATAAAAATTTTAAGTTTTCAGTTCCTTATTCTCCATAGGCTAATCATTTATAATCAACTGAGAAAACAACTAAGTTTTGGGGAAAAGAAAGCACTCATACAAGACTGGTTCATGTTATCAAATTATCCTTGAAACTGACCTTTCCACTTTTTGTTAAAATATGAAAAATAAGGAAAAATCTCAGTTGCTATATCACTAATTTTCAGTTTATGGTTTCATTTACTTTTACATCTTAACTGTGACTAACATTATTTGATATAGTATTGTTTATGTAGTTATTCATGCATGTATGTGTAGATATAAAGCCAGTAAGTTATAACTTAATGTCTTTTGAGGTCTTACTAGGAGAAGCACAATGGAACATAGCACCACCAAATTTGCAGTCTTACTCAAATCAAATAATGCACCACTATCTCAGCCCTTACTGTTGGAAGGAAACAGTATCAGTAAAGATGATAAAGAATAACTAAGAGTTTTCTTCTAGGCTTGGCAGAACATGAATTTAAGGATGTAGTGCATGAGTCTTAATTAAGCAAGGAGGTTCTTGGGGGTAATAAAACCGTGGTGGATCCAGATAATTGCTTTTGATGCCTGTACTAACAAAAACACAGCCTTCGTTTATATTATGGATCACAGTTTGCGAACCTCCATTTCAAGTTACTGCATATATCTGCATAGAAGCATGCTATTTTGTTTCACATTTCACTGGCTAATCATGTCCAATTTTTTTAATATTAAACAATGAATATCCTTATACATATAATCGCACGTGTTTACTTTCATAGGAAATGAAACTACCAGTTCAAAGTTATGCATTTTGTTATGTAAAGTACCTTCCAAATTCCCCTGGAGAGATCTCAACCACTAGACTCCCCAAAATAACATATGAGAATGGATTTCTTAACTCCCTGTCAATACTATCTTAGCATTTGCTGATTTTATTTTTACCAATGTTTTGTGACATACTGTTTCCCATGTTTTATTTGCAGGTGCTTAATAAATAGATTTGAGACAACTGGTATCTCTTTACCTTAGTGCTTCATTTAGAATAAGTGAAAAATGCAGTAATTAACATAGAATATTTCCTCTATTATTGATAAGCCTGTTACCATAACCAGTATCGAAGGTAATGAATTTTCCTAATGTTATATGTCAGAGTTAATCTTTCACAATGTGTCACAGGCAGAGTAGGAAAGCCACAAAGCTTTTACTATTGGCACTCTCCCTTTGAGACACAGAAGGAGAAGCAGAGAATTAGTGATTCATGAGACAGTCATATACAAAAAGGAAAGAGAAAGTGACCAAATAAATATGCCTTGTTCATTTTCCAAACTGACCAGGTAGATGAGTCATTGGTAAAGGGACGAAGACAGATGATGAATGCTACTTTTCAGAATTTGTTTCAGCCTGGAAACCAGTGTCTTCTAACAATAGCTACAATGCAGGCTTGCTACCTTTCCAATGAGTTTGAGGGCCATTTAAATGTGTGTGTGTGTCTGTGTGTGTACTGTTTTATCCTTAGTCCATCCTAAAAGACACAGTTCTTAACCATTTACATTTATATATATATATATATATATATTATATATGTATATAATACATATATTTTAAAGATCTTTGCTACTTTTATTATTTATACTTAAAAGCCAAAGAAAGCACAAGCAAAATAGACTGGCTAATATATTTGCAAATCACTTTATGTTCAGGATTTACCCAGAATTTATAATGACTTAGCTTTTCAGAGTCTTGGTATACTTGCTTGTCCACTCTGGATATCCCAATGTCATCAAAAACGTTAGTGAAGTCACATTTCTCAAAAGAGTACACCAATACTGTCTCTGGAATTTTCTTCAACCCCACAGGCTCCAATTAGGAATATTTTAATGATAGCTCTTTCTTGAATTTACCAGTACGGTAACAATGTTTCTTAGAAAAACAGCAAAAACTAGAACCCATTTTTTTCCCCCTCACCTAGCTTTTAAATAATTTGTTGTCTGAAATGTTTATGTTAGAGTTTTCTGGTGCAATAAAGGAGCAGAATATAAGAAAAAGGACGTGGAGAGGAGCCCACAACCGGCAATAGTTTGGCTTTCTCCTCTGACCAGATATGGGGGTGTGGGTTATGTATGACATTTGACCGGATTTGGTGCTGGGGGCGGGCATTGATGACGTATAAGGAGCTGATTGGACTTCTCACACACACACACCGGGAGACAAAGGAGGAAGTTGTAATGGGGAAGAAGGAGGAAGGAGCCTTCAGAATTAACATCCCCGATTTGGCCTTCTATCATGTTGAACTACCACCATAATATCCTGTAATTTATTCTAGGGAAAAACTCTCCATTTAGGGATTGCATTTTTCCAATAATGAAAGGAATAGCAACTAAATTTGAACATGAATAGGCAATGGTAACTCGAAAACTCTTGCCTGGCTGACAGTAGGTTATAAAAAACTGCTTGGCTGACATCGCTGATTATACAATAGGTTTGATTTCAGATATGTTAAAATGTGAAAAATAGTTTTATT